ATAATAATAATAATAATAATAATAATAATAATAAACTTTATTTTATATAGCACCTTTAAAGGTGGCTTCTCAAAGCACTTTACAGGATGACAACAATACAAAATACACAAGATATGAGAATACACAATAAGAGGAGACAGTAGATGGTGCTACTGAATACATTAGGAGCACAGGGCCAAGAACAGAGCCAGTTAAGTAAAGGCTCTTCTACAGAAGAAGGCTTTGAGTCTGAATTTGAAGGTGTTTAGAGAAGGTGACTCTCTCATATGCTTGGGGAGAGAGTTCCAAAGCTTGGGGGGCAGCAGGAGAAGGCCCTGTCACCCACAGAGCGTAGCCGGGCACGGGTTACTCACGCCGGGCACAGCTGTAGGGAGTGGACACGCCTCGGTTCATGATGAGCACTGTGCCCTGAAGCCCCGGCCCCTCCAGCGTCACCTCGATCTTCTCCGTGCGCGGGTACAGGGCCCGCTGCTTCGCCTGCTCCCGGGAGAAGATCTGGCTGCGCCACCCCAGCAGCTCCGCGACCGACGGCCGGGACACCGCCGCGTTGGACGCCAACCCTGACCGGGCAGGGACAAGGGGGGCAGAGTCCGTGTGAGGAAGACGAGTGAGTGAGGAGATGAGGATGAAGAAGGGGAAAGGAGGGAGAGAATGGAGAATGAAAGGGTGAATTCCTGCAAGATACCTAAACTGTTACTGTCTGTAGCTCCATCTGACAGATCATATTGTACCTTCAGTACTACTCACATAGCAGTGGTATAGAAACGTCTAAACAAGACCAAAATATGCTTTTTCCAAACCTCGCTTGCACGTTCTGTGAATATTTGACGAGCCTCATTAAAGTTGATAAAGAGAGATAGAGGAATATCAAGGTCAGACCAGCTGGTCTCATTAGATTTATGCTGAAGTATGATAACGGCTGGTAACACAGCGGTACTCACTGACTGGGAAGACTCGGCACACAGAGCGACAAGCCATGCTGGGTCCGAGGTCCAGTGAGTATTCGGATTCAGCTCAACTCCAGTGCGTTTCAACTACGCTATACACTTGCTTTGGTTTTCGTGAACTATCCACCTCTCTCATCTGTAGAGTACGGCCATGCTTATTTTCCGTCGTGGTGCAGCGGTGAAATAAGTCCTTCACACTCCTATGGAAACTCGGCATCGTACAGAAAGGTTCCCAGTAGTATTCTTGCGGTGCTTTCCAGTAAAACGTAGCTTTCGGGGTTGTTCTTGATGTGATTTGATTCCCACTGGTTCTATACAACCTGTTAAATTATTAATAGATTGAATGACGACTTACAACTTAGAGAAAATGATAATATTGGTTAATTAAATAAATAATTAGATTAATGAAGCTAAGCTATTAAAGCCAGTTCTAGGTTTAGTAGATGACTTCGCTGTGATTCCCCAGGTGAAATAGACGGTTCTAGTTTAGCTCGTTAGCTACTATGTAACTTTGTAACAATTACTATCTAAAAGTGTAGTATACCACAGTGATTCTGCACAAAACAACAGTTATGGTTACATAATTGTTTACCATAGCTTTCTCATTATAATTACTGTAGTACTATTGTCCTGTCTTTGCTATTGTGTTTGTGCTCACGTGTGAAGTGGTATCTTATTATTATTTATCTGCTGAGCAGACAGCTTTACACATCTTATAAAAATGCAAAAGTTCTTGTGTGTCAGAAATACACCACAAGAAATGAAATATATTTCTCCCAAATTCCAAACTCTCAGAAACTGACATTTCTGCTCTATTGCAGAATTCGAATATCCTGAAAAAACTGATGCTCAGGGACATGCGCAGGAATGCTCAGGAAAATCAACACGTCCAGTTAACTGTCAGTGGAGAGTGCTTTTTTATCTCCTCCTGGCCAGCCAGACACTGCTAATTGAGTAACCGTGTTGCTAAGGGCCTCCCTGTCTGTTTGTGACATGCTGTGCAGTAGGGCTACCATTCATTCCCCAGGGAGACTAGAGCCTGGCTCAGACAAAGGCAGCAGCTGTGAGGGCCCCTGACAGAGGGGACACAGCTGTTGGTGGGGGAGCTCCTGAGACAGGTGCAGGGTGGGGTGTGTGAGAGGGCAGGGCATAGGCTGTGTGTCCTCTCAGAGTTAGGGTTACGGCAGGGACAGCTCGTGATCTGGCAGAGTGCACAGACCAACTGGGCTCCTTCCACTGGCACGGTGCTCGCGTTCTCTGTTCCCTGCTGCAGCCTGTGACCCCAGCTGTACCGCACACACTGAGCTGAACGCATTAACCTTTTCTGAACACAAGGAAGACGCATTCTCTTGCTCTCTTGTTGTACTGAATGTGCACATTATCTGCTGCTACACACTGTACTGCATCACACTGTACTGTACTATACTGTACTACACTGTACTGCACTAGACTCTACTGTACTATGCTGTACTGCATCACACTGTACTGTACTACACTGTACTACTGCACTGGACTCTACTCCACTACACTGTTCTGCATCACATTATACTGTACTATACTGTAATACACTGTACTGCACTAGACTCTACTGTATTACTTTGTACTGCATCACACTGTACTGTACTAGACTGTAGTGTACTACGCTGTATTGTACTACACTGTACTGTACTATACTGTACTACACTGTACTGCACTATGCTGCACTGCATCACACTGTACTGAACTACACTGTACTACACTGTACTGCACTAGACTGTATTGTACTGCACTGTACTGCACTATTTTGTACTGCACCTTACTGTAATATATTATACTACATAAATGTGTATAGTACTAAAGTATTTTGTATTATATTATATTGCTTTATACATATTAAGATAAGAAAGGTTCCAAATGAGAAGAGGCAACGTGGTCAATACAGCTCAATGGATTGATAGGACCTGAGTGATCCAAGAATGTCTTCTAGCTGTTTTTGAATGAAGCCTGGGTACTGGTTCCCAATACAGCCCTGTAGTGTTAAGTGTGCCCCCGGTTCCCATTTCACTGTTGCTTCTGAAGAAGCCTACTGAATATTGACTTTGAGGATTTCATATTAAACTCCTCACAGTCTTCACTGTTCAAAACTAAAAAGATAAAATTCTTTCAGACTGTCAGAATAAGGTATTCTGATATCCCTGGTAATGTATCTGGTAATGAAATTTCAGAGCAGCATTATCTTTGTTGTAACATATATGTATATATAACATAACATCTCTTAAACTCTGTGCTTTTAATTCTATATCCTATATCCTTTGCCTTTTTTATTGCTTCCTCATAGTCCTGGTCCTGGGATCTCTCTGTGTCCTCAGGATTTTCTTGCAAGTATAATTTGTCAGCCTGGCTAAAAATGCTATGAAATCGAACACTTTTTTGTTTTTATAAACCATTCCTGTTCTTAAATGGTAATAATGGTCAGAAATAAGCACGATACATATGGCAATTTCTGTTTCAACTAATTTTTCACTTTGGTTTACCCTTTCAATGACTTGGATGGATAGAACAAGGAGCTCACAAAGCATTAGGAATCCTGATTAAAAGAATATAGTTATTAGTTAGTAACTAATTGATCTGAGGATTCTCATTCAGACATTTCTTGAAAGACACCAAGGTATAAGGTTACAAAACATGGCTGTGTATCTTGTTCCACACTCCCACCACCCTTGGTCTAAAGAAGTATCTTCTGTTATAAGTTTAAAATGTACTTCCATGCATAAAATCAAGATCCAGAAAACGTTTATGTCATATAAGGGCATTATGTCATTTGTCTATACTGTATACTGTATATGTTATGCACTGAAACCTGCCTGTCTTTCAAGAAGCCTTTTTGACTGTTCTGTCAAGAAAAGGGTTTCATCCAGTGCTGTAATATATTTGTTTTACTGCATTTTTACCTTGTTGTTGGCCTGATTATTTCAACTCCTCTAAAAGGGACATTTTCCTGTACCCAAGCCTTCATGTGCCAGTATTGTACTATACTATATTGTACTATTATATTGTTACAGCTAGAGCTGACTACATGTCTACATCTCTGTGAGAGTTTAGATAAAGTGTGTGACACCTGGCAGTGTAAATACTTCCAGCTTCAAAGGAGAGGGGATGTTTACTGAGATATGGGGAGTCCCCTGATCAAAAACAATGGTAAAGTTTACCGTGGTGTAGATCGTGGGTTAATGATTGTCAAGGAGCAGTCCAGAAACACACCATATAAGATCACATTAAAGACCACAGAAGAAAGGACAAGAACAGAGAGAATAGAGGATGAGGAGAAAAAGAAGGTAAGATCACAAGAGAGGAGTTGGAACTTGAAGCTTGTGAGCGTTAGGCAAGAGCCCCTGCTTCATGATCATCCAAACCAAACCTGACTGGAGCTCAGTATTTGACCCTTGCTAGAGAGAGCATGCTGTTCTGTGTTTTTCGGGAACTTGGGTTTCCTGAGTAAAAGATACCTTGGTTAAAGACGTATTCCCTGCTGTGGGCGCATTTGTAGAATAGGGAGAAGGGCTCCCATTTATTTTGTGGCATCCAGATTTGCAGAGAGGAAGATGTACTGTAACTCTTACTGTGCCTCTCTGTGGGTTTTATTTAAGAGTTCAATACTTTGTAGCAGTCTGTGGTTTTCTGGGTGATCAGGATTTTAGGCCTCTGAAACACCTTGTCTGTAAATACTGTACATATAGGAGCTTGAATGTTGCATGTTTGTTGTGCCTCTAGTGTTTGTCTTGTAATTGTTAATAAATATTAGTTTAACCAAGTGTGCCTGGATTATTGCTCTTTTCACCAAAGCTGTGCCAAAATTACAAAGAGTTCACGTGCCTCTAATTATACCAGCCACTCACATATATTCTGGAAAATCACTTACATTTCGGGGGTTATGATTATTTATTTTACTTATTGACTAATTCACTTGGTCGATTCCTGATTTTCACCATTTTCATAACCCCCTCATTTGTAACAATATTTCTATATTACATAGTACTATAATAATAGTTCTATACTATATTGTACTTGTATATGTATTGCGCCGTTCTGCACTGTTCTACATCATATATCATGTGCTGTGTCATACTATCATAGTGCAGCACAGTCCTAAGCAAGCATAATATACTACATACTATTTTCATTACACTGTATACTACTAATAATAAATTTTATTTATATAATGCCTTTGAAAGTAGCATCTCAAAGCACTTTACAGTAGGTTTTAAAACAGTTACAGCAAAAGAAAACAGTTAATTCAGGATACAAATTTAAAAAAATCCTTATAAGAAAGACAAGTGCTCAACAGTTCAGCAGAAGATACTTAATCATTACATTATGGAGCAGACACAGACACTAATTTAAATAAAAACCTTCCTTAAAAAGAAGGTCCTGTGTCTGGATTTGAAAGTGCTCAGGGAAGGTGATTCTCGGATTTCCTTGGGGATAGAATTCCAGAGCCTTGGGACATAGCAGGAGAAGGCCCTGTCCCCCATAGAATGTAAATGTGATTGGGGACATATAGAAGACCAAAGTCAGATGAATGAAGGTTGTGAGGTGGGTAGTAGACAGATAATAAGTCAGATAGGTACTGAGGTGCCGAACCATTACGAGACAGCCTTAAAGGTGAGCGTGAGGATTTTTACATCAGCTCGAAATGTGATAGAAAGCAAGGACTCCAGAAGTGAATATATAACTAGGTACCCCAGCAAGTAGGGCGTTACAGTAATAACTTCTTGGAAAGAAATGTGTTAATGAGCTTTTCTGCAATAGTCAAAGATAACAGGACATAATCTGGCACTATATCTGAGATGGAGGAATATTCTGCACATGAGGATCAAAAGTCACTGCTATATTCTTAAATTTAGATTGAAATTCAAGCACAGTGCCATCCACAGATAGGGTTACTACATCTGTTTATGTAGGTAATAGGTGATGCTGAATACCATGACCTCAGTCTTGTATGAGCTTAAGAGAGGGGAATTTTGAGTCATCCAGGTTCTTACTGCATATCAGAGATGAAATTAGAGAGGGAAGAAACAGCTACTTCACTGTCAGGTTTACTATGGACATAGATTTTAGTAATTTATCATGAATTACGAATTGATTTTTAGGACCATGTGATCTTAGTATCTGACCTAGTGGGAACATGTAGATGCTGAATAGCAGACAAACTTAACGAACCCGACTTCACAACTGAAACCCCCAAGAGAGAGAAAAGAATGTCAGCGATCAAAAGGTAAGAGTGGAACCATTTGAGAGCAATGTCAGAAACTCCAAAACACAGTCTCAAGACTAGAAAGTAGAAGCCATGGTTAATAGTGGCGATAGCAGCAGTGAGGTTTAGGAGAATACAAATAGAGAAACGGAATCAGTAGCCATAAGAAGATCGTTAATGACTTTAACCAGAGCAGTTTCTATGCTGTGTAATTGTCTGAAACCAGATTGGAACGGTTCAAAGAGGGTACATTTTTTGGAGAAAAAAGACGGGTTAGATATAGTACAAAAATTGTTTAGCTATTCCAGAGCCATGTTTGTTTGTTTTTTGGCACAGGCGAATCGTTCTTCATTTTACAGTATCACCATACTGTACATACATCATACGTATAGAGCACCGTATACTGTACAATACTCCCAAAGGCGTGATGTCACCCCACAATAACCACCGACAGCGAAACACACCTGTTTGATGTCAACACTACAACTTACACTACAAACCTGCCCGGCTCTGGGTCCAAGTGTTGATACTTCTGGAAATCAGGAAATTGCCGTAGAAGATCATCTCGGAAAAAAAAAAACTACGTGATCCACAGGATTGCTTTGATGGGGTTAAGTTTTACGATCACTAGGACCCTGTGGAGCCCTCCTACGCCCCCCGCCCCCAACCCGGGAGAAACAGTTGAGAGAGCTGCGGGCAGGGTCTACTCCACAGTAACACCCCACCGCTGACAGACGGACGCCGGAGAAAGGGAGAGTGCGCCCCCAGGACTGCTCGGGTCACTCGCAAACGCGGCGAACCTTACTCCGGAGGGAACCCGAAAATAAACTTGTGGGATAAAGAAGCCGGGATTTCAGACTCGGTCAGCTATAGGAGGAAGATTAGTTCGTTTTCATTGTTTCTTTTCACACCAAAGAGTTCTGCATATTTATTTACTTTCAGCACATTTAGCTAAACTACGGGAGAAGTCTGTTTTAAACGAACTCTGTGAAGATGGCGAGTTTGCAGCTGGTTTATCTCTCAGCTTTTCTACTCTTGCAGCACTGTGAGTAACAATGATTACTAATTATTCTCTTTCTTCTTATTCGAGTTCATTCTTTTACGGAAATCTTGATTCCAACGCGTGCCGCTCCTTCTACCCCGTTATTCGGAGCTCATGGCCAGGAGATGTTGCGTATCAGTATCTTCGGCGTCACTTTCCAAACAAAGGCAAACTTTCCCGTGAATTTCTTTCAAGTCCAGATCTGCAGTTTGTCTACGTAGTTTCTTCTCTTCTGAGATTGTATTGTGGTCCTCTGAGAACAAAAAACAGCGTTCCGTCTTTGTTCATGAAGTCCAGTTGACACACAGGGCTGCCTCAAAGAGAGAGTCGTATTATGCATTTTCCCGTAAGTGCTTTGCATAGTGGATGGGGAGTCGCACTGCAGATCAGGTGGAGAAATCGCGTCACCACTAAGGAAAGATTTGGGGAGGCCAGAGTGGAATTTAACCCAGGACTATGGGGTGAGCATACCTTCTCTTACGAGCAGGATCATTAATACTCAAGCTGGCAGGACCACCGTTTAATTGTCTCCACCAAAGGATGTCGGCTCTTATAGCATGAGATTCCTGGGCATCGTTCTGGGGTTTGTAGTCGAGAGGGGAAGAGCTCCACCTACTGGTCCACTGTGTCATTTATTAGTTGTAGTAAATTACTCTTTGTGTGTTATCCAGACTGTATGACTGCACAGTGGTGTTGTGTAGCACAGTTGACAGCATGGTGTTTGTCCGTGTGTCGTGTGCACAGGTATGTAACTTTCCTGGGACTCCGGCTCCCTGGTGTGTTAGTGATGTACTCTGCATCTGCTGCATTTTAGTCAGTCCGCCATCGAAACTTACTTGTGAAAAGCTGCTGAGGCACGTTGTTCAAAAGTGTCAGTCTGGATGCCGAAAGAGGTCATGTGTTGCATGGTGAGCGATATCTATATAATATGTAGCTGTTCTTTGCACGCTGGCAAAGAACGATCACCTACTGTATTTAAAGGGTCTGACACAAGCTGCCCTGGTTTCCTTCAAGAAACAACTGGATGAGATCAGAGCTCCTCACAATCAAACAGGCAAGGTGGGCCGTTGGTCTCAACCTGTTTGTCGCGCCTCTTCGGTTTGTCAGTTTTGGCCCAGTCTTAATCTCTGCCCACTGAAGTGTCCCTCAGAGTTCGCCGCACGGGGAGAAGTCAGAGGTGCTAATTCAGGCTCGGTCCAAGTCAAGTCCCTGTTTTAGCTAGGTAGTTCCCACAAACGCGTTCTTATGTTTTCAAGGTCAGTGTAGCTGTGTGTTCCAGAGAAGATACAAATGTTAAATCCAGAGTGACTGACGTTCGAGAGAGTCAGGTCAAGGTTCCAGCGTGTGCAGTGGCTGTCAGGGAAGGACACACTCTTGTGTCTTGTGTTCCGTAAACAGCACTTCCAGTCCCAACAGCGCTGAGGCAGACTGTAGCAGCGGTCACTATGGAAATTCCCCCGGTGACCGAGGAGACCCGGACCCGGGGCGACACTCGGTGGATGCATGCCGAATTGGTGCAGTTCTCTGCCAGCTGCTGCGGCTCCCCTCAGACCCGGGGTGAGAGGAGTGTGGTGTGGATTACCTTACGGACACAGGCCGGCTTTGTTCTGCCTGGACAGGGGGGTGGGGGAGTGGACCACCTGACACGTCCCAGCTGGGCCATCAGGCTAGTGACTCCAGGACAGTTTGGAGTCGCATTCGGGCAGAGAGCAACAAAACAAGACAAGGGGGAAACTGTTTGCATTCTCCCCCGCCCCCCCCCAAAAAAAAGCCCTCGAAGATTTTTCTTACAGCAGGAGACCCCTGCCATATCAGCAGGAATGTGTTAGAATTGGGTTTCTGCCATGTGTCCCCCAGGACATGTCTGGAAGGAGTCCTGTGTGTCTGTTCTGTGTGGCAGGGCTGCACGTTTGTGGAAAGTCTGGGCAGTGACCACAGTGTTGTGGATTTGGAGCTGCCAAGTTGGAATTTAGAACTGAAATGGGAAGGAAGTTTGAGTCACTTGTCACATCTTTATAGGCCTGACCCGTCTGCTGAATGTGGCCTTTTTGACTGATGTCATATTGGTCTTGTACTTGTCTATTACAAGTCACATATCCGTTGTGGGTGGAAGTGAAATACTTTTCCTTACCCTTTAAGGTCTTGTGGGACCTGCGAGACTATGTGCTCTGCATCTGGGCTTCTGGCCTGGTGAGGCTGCAAAGTTGTGTCCGATGCCGTGAGACTGCAGAATCGAGGTGGACACTGGCCAGAGCTCGTCTCCTGAAGAGCCTTTTGTGAACGACTCGTCAGAAAAAAAAAAACAACTGAATCTCGGCTACGTTCAAGGCACACGCTGTTTAGTTTCACCACACATAATTATTTTCCCTTTGAATTCTAGACTCATTGTAGCAGAATCATTATCCTATGAACGTGTCTCCCCCATCACCCGTGAAAAGGGTGTAAAACTGACAATTTTCTGTAGGCCTGTCTAATACAACAATATGTAAGGCAACACCCATTCATCCATTTTCTAAATGCTTTATCCAGTGCTTGATAGCAGGGAAGCCGTAGCCTATCTCGGCAAGTAACAAGGAGGGATACACCCTGGACAGGATGCCAGTCCATGCAGGGCACACAACCAACAGAGTCACCCACACACTCCCACCAGGGGCAGTTTTCCCAGAAGTCAATTGAGACTTTGGACAGTGAGTGGAAACTGGACTAAAATCCATACAAACACGGGGGAGAACTTACAAACTCCATGCAAACTCCAGCAGCCATATCACCCTGCAACTCACAACTGGCAACCCACTGAAGCCAAGCAAGTGTGAGCCTGGTCAGTATCTGGATACCTCCTGGGAAAAACTAAGGTTGCTGCTGGAAGAGGTGTTAGTGGGGCCAGCAGGGGGCGCTCTCTCCCAGCTCCCAGCCCACTGGAGCCCAGCAGGGGGAGACCTCCTGGGAAAAACTAAGGTTGCTGCTGGAAGAGGTGTTAGTGGGGCCAGCAGGGGGCGCTCACCCTGCGGTCCATGTGGGTCCTAATGCCCCAGTATAGTGACGGGGAAACTATACTGTAAACAGGTGCTGTCCTTCGGATGAGACGTAAAACCGAGGTCCCGAGGTCCCATTGGCCCTTACCAATCATGGCCTCTTAATAATCCCCATCTATGAATTGGCTACATTACTCTGCTCTCCTCCCCACTGATAGCAGATGTGTGGTGAGCGTTCTGGATGCTGCACATTGGTGGTGGTGGAGGGGAGTCTCCATTACCTGTAAAGCGCTTTGAGTGGAGTGTCCAGAGAAGCGCTGTATAAGTGTAAACAATTATTATTATTATTATTATTATTATTAGGAATTGAACCCAGGGCCCCAGCGCTGCCAGACATCAATGCTAGCCACTGCAAATATAATAAACCAATAACACACACCTAGTATAAAAAAAATCGTCCGACAACCTTATAACATCAGAAAATGCAGCACAGTTCAAGAGAGACCTGCTGTGGCTTCTGAGTCCCATTTTCTGTAAAGCTTTTTTTGAGTAATTTTTCAAAAATTCGGGCCGGGAAGGGTTAAGGTAAGAAGCTTTTCTTCAGACTGCAGCTGTGGTGCCGAGCAGCGTCTTTGCGCGTGTGTGCGTTTGACCCAGAATGCCTTGACTTGTCTCTGTAATGGCTTCCAGAGAGCTCCAGCCAGCTGGTTGGTGAAAGATCCCAGAGCCCCTGCATTCCAATATTGAGGAATGGGCCTGTCGACAACACCGAGCACTGCAAAAACACGACTCTCTCCCTCCTCCCAGAGTGCCCTCTCCCTTCAAACCGAGACGTCGCACTGGAATTGAGGAGGGGGAACAGAATGACCAGTTTTTTCAAAGGGCTCGATCATGAAATGTCAACTAACAGGCACCCCTCCCCTGTCAATAGAACTCCCTCCTGTTCCTTCCTCTGTCTCCAAACCCCTGTTTGTCTTTTTGTGGACTTCCTGTTTTCAGACTAGCAATCTATTTTTTCTGAATGTCCCTGTGCGGCTCTCTCTTTGGAGTGTGTGCAGTAGGGTACTTAGCTCTGGGCAGAGTGACTACTGTTCAGTAGTTTGTCTCTCTCTAGGTCCTTTGTACAGAAGACTGTCCATCTGGAGGGTGTGTATGTGTTGTTCAGCAGGCCTCTCTGGAGGGTGTGTGTTGAATAGTATTGTCTGTTTAATTCCCTTAGGTGTGTCTGTCCATTGTACAGTAGTATCTGCCTCTCGCTGAAGGGGGTGTGTGTACTGTACAGCAGTGTGAGGATGTCTCTGGGGTGTGTGTGTGCTATACATCACTGTACATGCCATTTTCGGCACGGTGGCGCAGTAGTTAGCATTATCTCGCAGTTCTGGAGTCCTGGGTTCAATTGGAGTACTATCTGTGTGGAGTTTGTATGTGCTCCTCATGTTCATATGGGTTTCCTCCAGGTGCACCAGCTTTCTCCAGCTGTCCAATGACGTACTTATAGTTTAATTGGCTTCTGGGAAAACTGGCCCTTGTTGTGGGTGTGTGTATGTCCTGTGATGGACTGGCATTATGTCCAGGGTGTCTTGTGCCCATTTCTTGCCATAATAGGCTCTGGCTCTTTTGCGACCCTGAATTGGGTAAATTGGTTAGAAAACAGATGGATGTACATGCTATCTTATCTTCTGAACAGGGGAGCGTGGAACAGGAAACAACTTTGTTCTCAGGGGAGTTCAGGGGACTTCAGTGTCTAGATTCTTCACTGTTTGGAACTGAAGGTGTCTTTCCTTTCAGTACAGGCCACTGGCTTTGTAAAAAATATCAGAAACATAAGGCAGGTTATGTTGCTAATACCTATAAACATATTTGACAGATTTTGGTAACTCAAACTGCTGAAACACTTTAGTGCCTGTGGAATTTGAGAGAATTGCTTTTATAGCTGTCTGATTTCTTGCATCCTGTTTTTTTTCAAAAACAGTAATCAAGATGTTCTAATTGGAATGAGCTTTGTTTTGACCTCACAGAACTTGTTTTTTCTGTTGAGGGAAAATGTGGCCACTGGCAGAGTTCCTTAGATCACAGCCGATGGCATCCTCACTGTTTATGCTAGAGGGAATTTTTGAAAAGTTCATTTGTAGTCATCCAGTTTTGGGCAGGATGACCAGACTGAAACGCTGTGGACTATTAGGGTGGGAAGCAGTGTCCAGTCCATCCATGCTCGGGCCAATCCCTTCCTGTCCAGTCCAGTCCACTCATGGTCAGGCCAGCCCCTCCTTGTCCAGTTCAGTCCACTCACAGTCAGGCCAGTCCAGTCCAGTCCAGTCACAGTCACAGTCAGCCCAGCCCCTCCTTGTCCAGTTCAGTCAACTCACAGTCAGGCCAGTCCAGTCCAGTCCAGTCCAGTCCAGTCCACTCAGGGTCAGGCCAGCTCCTCCTTGTCCAGTCCAGTCCAGACCTGTGTTGTGCTAATATGAAATGGCGAGCTTGTCACTGTATCCCTCTTTCCAGAAATTAGAGGCTCAGTGCTTATTACTGGCTCCTCTTAACAGAAAACAGCAGAATAGGGATCCCAGTGGCAGGAAGGGCAGCTCCTGTTTCCTCTTCCTGCCCGAAGAGTCATGTGTTGTTGCAGAAGAGCAGGGGAGTCGTTCCGGACCTCTGCAGCCCTCACAGCGCCCGGTGCTGTTTCTGCCAGGGTAACCGGGCGACAGGCTCAGAGATGGACTGTCCAGCAAGACTGAGACTTCACCCAATGGAAGTTCCTCATGCAGACAAAGACATGGGAACTCAAAACCTAGAGTTAGATGTCAATCCCTGCCAGTCACCATTCTTGAAAATTGAAGGAGAAATACCAAACGTCATAATCTGGACACAGCCCTGCCACAGTGCAGTGAGTTTTCTTTGGCTCAGGTGATGGTAACAGACCGAGACGCAAACCGTGGGTGGTCTTGTGCAGGGCTGGAGTTTATGGGGTGTGGGTTTATTGCAGGAATGAGGCACAGTTTTTAGGAGGCAAGTTGGCTCTCATTTCCATGAGTCCCCTGCTATGCCCATGATCCTCAACGTTCGGTAGAGAAAGTGAACAGAGCCAGCTGGCAGCAGCAGTCGGTCAGCACAGGACTAGGGCAGAGCCACAAAAGGACATCGTCGATCCACCCTTTAGAAATTCGTGCACCATGGCCAACCAGCTGAAGGAGACAACCACTACTGTGTTGTTGACCAACTTCACACAAAACATTGAAGATCGACCCCCTGAAGCAGGAGCTCCTTCCTGGCACACTGCAAGCCCCTTCGGCTTGCATCACTTGGTCTGTTGTTTGTCTGGGAGGGGGCCGGCATTATCTACATACAGCTGCACCCAGGTGTCACTGAGACACAGAGAACGTGTGAAGATAAGCTTGTCAGGCAGGGTCTGCCTATACGAAAGCATCTGTGGTGCAGTTTGAATTTGCTGTGCTTTGGGTTTCAGCAGGTTGCATTGCCAGACCCCATCGATCTCCAGGCTCCAGGTGAAATCGGGCAGGTTCATAGGAGTTTGCAGACACTGTTGGTGGAACTGCAGAGTTCCCTCTTCACCGCTCACACCTCGCATTCGTTTCAGTCAGCTCGGTCTCACTCGAGAGCTCAGCTTCTGCGGCTGGCGGTTCTCAGGTGGGCGAGAAGAACTTCAACGGGGGGAGTCTGGTCGAGCCAAACCGGTGGAGATGAGCAGGTTTCCCCTGGATGAACAGGGGTGACCCGCTGCTAAAATGATTTGAACAGCGTTTGCAAATGCATATGACCCCTCATCCCTGTCACAGAGTAGACGTGAGGGTGCTTCAAGACACAAGCCACGGGCCACAGAGAGCTCTGGTCCTCCTTCCTTTTTCGTGACCTTAAATACTAAAACTCAGAGTCAAATGATTTGTTCCCCCAACTGTGTCTTGTAACATTTCTGATAAAGCTTGCAGGATTGATCTGGACAACAGAAATCATCAGCTCTGCATCTTCCAGCCACAGGAGAGAGACTCACGCCTGCTTCAGAGATGTGATCACAGTGCAGTTAAGGTTGCGCGAGACACGACTTAAAAGCGCCAGTGACTTTCTGCTTTGGGACCATGGGGGTGAGGCTGCCTGCTGTCCGTCCTGGGCACTTCTGTAACCAGGCTCACGCTTGCTCTGTCCCCGCAGGCCCGTGGATTATCCCCGTCACCGTGTCCACCGACAGGCCTGTCGTGGAGGTCCAGGAGCACAAAGGTTAGAGGGGGACGAGGGAGGAGGGGACAGGGAGTACATGTGTGAGGGCGAAGGACACAGGAGAGAGGAATGAGAGGCAGACAGGGGTAGGGGGATCTGAAATTGGGTACAGGGGTGAGAGAGAGGCAGACAGAGTGGAAATGTGAAGGTTTTTTTTGGGGGGTGGGGTGAAAGTGACTGAGGGCAGCTATGTTTGCCCTCCATTTCTCCCCATTTAAAGGGGAACTGCAACACTATTTTCCCATTCTGTAGTGAGAAAGAATCAGCATTGATGGGCGTATTTCAAACCACAGTAAAAGTCAAATGTACACCGTAAACTTGTAAAACCTCCAATTCACATTGCAAAATAGATGAAATGTTCTGGTATGTGCAGCACTATGTTCTGCGATTCAGAATGAGGCAACAGAATTTCTGGTGAAGTGTCTCACCCCTATGACATTGTAAACAAGCAGGCTTGGGAATACATCTCTTTCAATCCAATAGAAATATTGCTCTTGATTTTGAGACGGTTTGCCTACAAATAATACTTATAGTGAACTCTGCATGCAGATCACGTTGGAACATTTCTGCGGTGAAATGTCTGCTGCACAAGCTGTTCTTATTCGCTCGTACATCACAGTGCATTACTCATCACACTGACTAGTGAGCAGGAAGGGCTGCTCCACATCGCAGTTAGTGGAAACTCGAAATGGCAGTTTGCAAGAGCATGGCGACTTACGGTACTTTCCCGAATTTGTGCTCAATTCGAAATTTGTCATTAAAAAAAAAAAATCCCCTTTAACTCTTCCTCTCCGCCCCCGGGCAGACGCTGTGCTGTCCTGCCTGTTTCACACAGAAAGGGACCACTCCCCGCGGATCGAGTGGAAGAAGGTGCAGAGGAAAGACGTGTCCTTCGTGTACTACAACGGAGAGTTTGTAGGTGAGAATCGGAGGGGTGGGGAGCCGTTCGCTGGGCCCTTCTTGTCTTCCAGATGCCTCGGCCCAGAAATAAGGGCTGTACTAACTCCCGTCTACTGGCTTTGTTCCCGCGGAATGGTTAATTATACAACTGATCCTCAGGTTGAATTAATTCATTTATCAATTAAGATACAGTTTTCCACCCTTTGAGGATAGGGGATTTGTAATTCCAAATAAGTTGAAAACGGCAGGACTGTAGAGGTAGGAAACGGTTTTAAAGGCATCTAACTCTTTCCAAAGTCCACAGCTCCAGATGGATCTGTTCTGAGAATGCCTGTTGTGGGATTGGTTGACCCGCAGTTCTGCTTTGAATAATATTTAATTACATTGTGGCCTCTGAGCGATCTGATTCACCAATCCCTCAGTCACACTTCACCGTGATCACTCTGACTCGCTGTGCATATGCTACCTGGTTTTTCAATGAGACATTACGATAGTATGCCTTTGAACACGGGACACAGACGAAGGTAGCGCACAATAACGGTGAAGTATTAAATGGTTAGAATTAGGTGGGGCGTGGTGGGGCAGTGGTTGGCATCACTTCCTCACGATACTGGGGCCCTGGGTTTAATTCTAGACCTGGGGTGGTGTCTGCTCCTTTCAGAAATATTCAATTCAATTCAATTCAACTTTATTGTTATTAAACTTACACAGGTGCATAGTATGAAAAGTGTTTCTCATTAGTCACTCAGTATATAAATAGGACAGAAGATAAGACAATAGACAGTAACACAATAGCAATAACAGTTACATGTAATAACATAACATAAATAACATGTAATCAAGTAATCAAAACTGTGCAAAATTCTGCAAACAGGGAAAATATAACAGGACAAAAACAGTGCAAGGTAATTCTTGGAACAGTGCAAAAATAGTATGGTTATAAATAGTTTGGTTAATTAATAAATATTAAATATTATTATGACGTACAGTTTTACTGGGCTATCGAGGGGACAGTATGTTTTCGGCTTACATGTGTGTGTGGTGGTGTAGGAGTACAGTCATTGTGGGTACAGGAGGACGTTAGGAGAGATAATATGGTGGGAGGGAGTGGGGGCGTCACCATCTTGACAGCTCTGGGGAAGAAGCTATTTTGGAAATATCTTTCAAAGTTCATGTGAGTTTTCTCCCTACACTGGTAGGCTAATTGGCTTCAGGGAAAATGAACCTTGGTGTGAGTGTGTGTGTGTCCTGCGATGGACTGGTGTCCCATCCAGGGTGTATCCTGCCTTGTGTCCGTTGCTTGTAGGAATAGGCTCCAGCTCCCCTCGACCCTGATTTGGAAGAAGCGGTTAGAAAATGTTCTTGTTGTATCCATCCATCCCAGCTTCCCGTAGTCCGGATGTCCATGAATACATTTTGATAACCAGAGATCTGGCGAAGGTGCAGTGACTCAGGATGTGTGTGTATGTAAGTGTGTGACCTGGCTGCTCACTGTCCCCTCAGGAGACTTCAAGGGCCGCGCGAATATCACTGGGGCCACAGTCACCCTGCACCAGGTGACCGTGCAAGACACTGGGGACTATCGCTGTGAGGTCAGCGCCCTACTGGACACAAAGAATCTGGGGGAGACCAACATCACGCTGAATGTGCTCGGTGAGCCTGTCGGTCTTTCTGTCTCAGTGTCAGATTAAAAGCTGTTCTGCTGATGGTTTTTAAGTACAATATTGCCAGTGTAGTATGCCATGTGCTAACAGATTTATACTGAGTGACATAGCCAAATAAATTGGATTTTGTATAAATCATATGCAAAATAGAAGTGCGTCATGGCAGATGTGCTTTTAATAACATGCGCATGAGCATACAGACCATGACATGGGTATGGATGTTATCATTTTATCCACTTATGACGTTACAGGAGATGGAATTGTCTTGCAACTTTTCATGCTGTCAGTGTGCACCTATAAACCCAAGGTTAGCAGTTCTGTCTCATTTAGCATTGTGATTGGATGATTGATTAATTAATATTCATACCCAAAAATCATTGCAGTTTTCCTTATGATTATTTCTTTATACAGTGTATATGTAGTATTCAAATGTCTTCTGTTTTTGCATTTTTGCCATCCATCTGAGACATTTTCTTACTAGTTCAGTGCAGCATGCCCAGTGTGTCTGGGTTAACCATTTCCTCTCTGTCCTGTTCTCACCCCCAGTGCCCCCCAACGTGCCCATGTGTGAAATCCCCAGATCTGCTCTGACGGGCACAGTGGTGGAGCTGCGCTGTGAGGATGTACACAGTGTTCCCCCTGCAACATACTCATGGTACAAGGATGGCAAGCCCCTGCCTCAGTTCTCTCTGCAGGATCCCCGCCCTGCCAACGCCACCTTCACGCAGAACCCCCGGACCGGCACGCTGGTGAGACGCTCCACCTCTCTCAGTGCTGCACACCTAGTGTAGATGGTGAGAAGGGCACCCCCTTGTGGAGAGTCAGTGAGCAGCAGCCTGTGACACAACTCTATGGCTGAAACAACGTGTCTCTTCTTGGATGGTTTGAAAGGGGCAGTCAGTGCAGGGTGATGTTGGGTCTCCCATCACTTCTCACATGTTCTCCTGCTATCTCTCCCTGGAGCAGCAGTTCAACCCCGTCTCCCGGACGGACACAGGGAAGTACCACTGTGTGGCCAACAACGGCGTGGGGGATCCCAAAAGCTGCATTGGGAAACACATGCAGATCGGTGAGCCCCCGTCTGCGGTGTGTGTTTGTGTAGTCGTGTTTGAGGACCCGATCTCCTTTTCGGTGTTAGAACAGGTAGTGGGCAACCTTTGCAGTCAGTAACAATAAACTGTATTTTATATAGCACCTTTAAAGGTGGCTTCTCAAAGCGCTTTACAGAATGACAACAACAACAACAACAATAAAAAAACACAAGATAAGCAGGATGAGATCACACAATGAGAGGAGACAGTAGATTGTGGTACTAATTACAGTCAGAGCAGAGGGGTAAAGAATGGAACCGGTTAAGTAATGGCTCTTCTACAGAAGAAGGTTTTGAGTCTGGATTTGAAGGTGTTTAGAGAAGGTGACTCTCCGATATCCTTCGGGAGAGTTCCAGAGCTTGGGGGCGTAGCAGGAGAAGAATCCGTCACCCATAGAGTGTAGACGGGCTTGGGGGACAGTTAGGAGACCAGAATTAGAAGAGCGAAGGTTGCGAGTAGGGGAGTAGGGCAATAATAGCTCAGACAGGCTCTGAAGTGCCAAGCCACGCAGAGCCTTGTAGGTGAGCATGAGGATTTTGAAGTCAACATGAAACATGACAGGAAGCCAGTGCGAGGTGCAATGGTCTGTCTGTGGAGAGTTTTAAATATCTGGGAACACATATTAATCAGAGGCTGAGTTACACTGAGAAAATAGACAACAGTTTTTTTTATGAAAGCAAGTCAGAGGCTGTTTTTAATTCAAAGCCTAAAGAACTTGAATGTTAAGTCAAAATGTCTTGGCATATTAAAGACTTGCTAAGAGCATCTTGGCATGTAACATGACAGTTTGGTATGGAAACCTTGAAAAGCCAACTGTCCAGGATTGTGAAAATGCCTGGTGAAATAATTTGGGAAACAGCAGCCCCAGCTCAGCAATCTATATCATAATACAGGTCTCAGAATGGCATAGAACATCACAGCTGGTTTCACACACTGCTCTCAATTCAGAATACAGTAGAGGGTACCAAAAGTCAAATAAAATATATTTATAAGTAGTCCTTTGTCCCCTGTGCAATAAAACTGCTCAATAAATGTATGGAAATGTAGTCCCTTCACTAGGTATTTATCCATTTGTTTATGTTACATACTGTTGTTGTGATTTCATGTACTTTGTGATTTTCTGTGACTTTTATGTTTTGCTTGTGGCTTTTGTACTTTTATGGGAGAAGCCAAAGATCAATTTTCCCTGGTGGACAATAAGGTATCTAGTTCAAGTGGGTAGCTGCGTCAGCATGCGTAGGCTGCAAAGGAACAAGTAATAGGTTTAATCCATGCTGGAAAAAAAGAAGAAAGAGAACACAACGTTTCGGCCATGGAGCCTGAATAAGGTTCCACGGCCGAAACGTTGCATTATCTTTCTTCTTTTTTTTCAGCATGGAATAAACCTATTACTTGTTCCAATAAGGTATCTATCTGAGCAAGAGTCCACAGGAAGGTAGTACCTCCTGCAAAAGAGGCATTGCGAGGACAGTGAGGACCAGATTTTCTATTCCAGAAGGCGTCGTCTTTAAAATCTAGACATGCCAAAACAGTTGGTTTTCACCCTGTAAAGAGCGTCCAGTAAAAACAGAAAGATGGACAAGTGTGGAAGTACTGTACACGTGTGTGTGGCTGTTTCAAGTGTTGAAGTGTGTGAGAGCCCAATGCGTTTTGCTCAGGGATTGCTGTGCAGATGATGAGCTCTCTCCTCTCTCCCTCTCTCCCAGACGACCTGAACGTGTCGGGGATCGTGGCTGCCGTAGTGGTGGTGTTCCTGGTGGTGTCCCTGTGTGGGCTCGGGGTCTGCTATGCCCACCGGCAGGGCTACTTCAACAGTGAGTCTGCTTGTGCCTTACAGGCTGCCCATCTGTCCTGCCTGCTGCTGCTTCGTCCACTCGCCTGTCCTCCTTGCTTGCCCGTCCAGCTGTCTGCTGCCAGCCTGTGCGACCATCTGCCTTTCTTTTCTGCTTGTCCAACTGCCTGCCTGAGAATGAGAGCAACTCGGCTCTGACTCCACCTAAACCACAGCCGCCGCCACCCCCTCTCATCCCCTGCCCAGTCCTGGTATTCCTGTGGGCATCTCTGCTGTCCTCCTTGGCTATTCTCTCCTCCAGGACTGGCACAGAGTCACCAGGCAGAGGGCATTGAGAAGAGCCCCAGGATCTGCCTTGGCACATACTGCAATTGTATTGCCATGCTGATGGGAGCAGCCGAAATTCCTAACTCGGCCTGACCAGCTGTACGGTGCAGCTGACAAGGCTGAGTCTGCTCCAGTTTGGGTCCTGGAGAGCCAAGCTATTGGGTTTATGTAATCTGAATTGCTTTCAGTAGCTTTAGATGATCTCTGAACTACCTCCTTGAACAGAGCACCTGTTCTTTAAGGGTTAAGAAAGGCATCCTGTACCTCCTGCAGGTTGTGGCTGTCCACCCCAGGAATAGGCCTTGACAGAATAAGTTGCGATGATCCAAACATGTGTTGCCAACCTCCAAGGGGGGAGAACAAGTGGTAGACAAGGGGGCAAAGGGTCATGGGTTGGGACTGGGGAGACGCCCTCTGGAAAACCTATTGGGAACGTGGGCTTTTCAGCCCTGTTGACATTCGGAAATGTGATGAGATCAGGGCTGCAGGGTGGCCAACCAAGCTTTCGTTCAGATCCGAAAAATACCACAGTGTCAAAGGTGGATGACAGAAACAGAGAAAATCGAAGCAAAAGGAGCAAAACATGGAATAAAAAGGGTTACAGAAGCAAGTTATGTCTGTCCAAGCACTAAAGGTCATGGATTTCTTATAATTTTAGGAGACTTGACACTTCAGAATACTACAGCAATTACTACACTTACTACATGCCACAATACCAGAGTGAGTGACCACAGCTTGGGCCCAGAAATGGGCGACAAAAGAGTGCAGAGGAGACCTAGGCCAGACCCTCTCTTTTAACAGACTCCCTCCACTGTGGGGAAAACCTGAGGCTGAGAGGGCAGTAGACCTTTGGACGTGCTCACAGGACAGGGGGAGCCCTGGTCCAGAGCTGGCAGGAGAAACTGCAGCTCGTTCTAGAAGAGAGCAAGGAGGAAGCCAGGACACTGACAGCAGAGAAGGCGGGAGCATAACAGAGGGGGGGGGGGGGCTATTAGGATGGGGGTTCAAAAGAAATTTGAACGTGATCACCTGTTCGTCTGTCCATCTGCCTGCCTGACCATCTTGTTTGTCAGAATCTCTGTTACACCCATGTGCCACATGCCCCTGTAGTCTGTGTCGCTGTGTGCTCAGAACTGAGCCCCCCTAACTGACTCTCTCTCTCTTATTCCAGAGGGCCACCGGGGAAGGTGAGTGTCTTCTATTTACCAACCTCCCAGTCTCCTGGGGTCACTTGCTTATGAGTAAGGGTCTCAGTGCCGTGGAATGAGACCAGATCAGTGTGTCTGTAACTAACCTTTCCCGGCCTGTTTCGGACATGCTATGGTAAATACCGGGAGGCTCCGGAAGAACCGGTTAACGACCGAGGGTTTCTGTTTGCTGCATGTGTGTGTCCATTGGGAGTGGTTGAAGTACGAGCCCCCCGAGTTCTCTGCTCCCACTCTGTGTGAGTGACCAGAAGAGAGTGGGAGACTGGCCGTGACATTGCCAGGGACGCTGAGCCAGGACCGAGGCACATAGCGTGAGCAGCACAGACGGACGAAGGACTCGGGGAGATGGAGAGATATTTTAGGACGTCGAGAAGGATGGAGTAAAGTGCTAAGAGAGAGTGATCGACAGATGGGGAGAGAGAGGCTAAAATGAAGATGTGTACCCCAAAGAAGGGGGGGAGCAAGGCAGATCACCAAACAGTAGCGGAGTGTTTTCTTCCTTTGTATCTGCACTAACAGCACTCTGTGTGAGGCATCTGGTTTGCTAACCATGAGTAACAGCATGTAGATCGTGACCATGGAGGAGGCAGTCTTGAAGTGGAGCATCAGAGTGTGAGGCATCAACGCTGGCCTATATCCATCACCCTGGACACAGAGGACATTAAACCCACACTGGGGAGCCACTCACTGAAGCCCTGATGTCTTGTACATCATGTCTCCAATGTGCCTAATGTTCAGCGAAAATATGGGCTACCTGCAGAGTTTGTATGTTTCAGTGGAGCCACCTCTCCTCCTCCTCACTCTTGGCAGGTCCCAGACTCTCTGCATGCTCTTGAAGCCTAGGTCAAAACTCAAATTCTGGTTAAAATAAAGGAACAATCTGAGAAAGATCACCTGCAACATTATTGGCTAACAAGCAGAAAAGTATGTGTTCTGATTGGCTAAATCAGTTCTACACTCTCGTCCTTAACTTACTAACTGCTACTAAAGCCTGGATTGTGATTGGCTAACAGCCAGAGAAGAGCGGTCTGTGAAAGGATAACCCTCAGCATGGTGTCCAGTGGCCTTGGCCATGCTCTGTGTGTGTGTCCACCCATTGGGCTGAAACTCTGTGAACCCCCACCTCCCTCCACAGGTCCTTCTGGATCCCACAGTGCCATGGAGTCACCCATATCAGCAGCCAGAACCTCCACAGGACTGACGATATGTGAGTGAGGGAGGGACAGAGAGGCAGGAAGAGAGAAGTGGTGGGGAGAGCAAAATACAGAGAGAGAGAGGGGGAACATGGAGGAGGGGAGACGGATGCGGTCATGGGAGGGGTGCAGCGATGCAGGAGAGAGAAAAGAGAAGAGCCGGAGGCCACCTTGTGAATTTAGCTTCTCCCGAAGAGGACAGATGGTGGTTGTGACACCCGACAATGGTCTCAAACCAACATGCCCACTCTGCTGTGTTGTGAGAGGACGGTGAATTCTGTTGCCAGCTCCAGCCGGTTTAATGTGTGTGACAGGAGTGCTTCTATATTGGCAGAGCCTTTAAAAGCAAAGCACGTGCCCTCCTCCTCAGTTCACCCCCCCCATTCTGGCTATCAAGCTTACAATTCCAATTTTTGTGGGCAGCAAACATTCTGCCATCTTTTATTTACTCAATAGCAGTGCAGTTACAGAATGACAGTATTTATAGTTCTACCATTTCATTGGTCAGTAACTTAAGTTGAGTGATCTTTAGCCAAATACCCTTACTATCTTAAAAGTCTTTAAGAAAGTTTGCAGTTTATGAATGTTAAACTGGTAGGCTTGCGGGACCACAAGGTCCTCAGCTAGTAGGTTTGGAGCTGCAAATTATTTACAGAGTGGACCGGAATTTCTCAGTTTCCTCTCTTCCTTCTTCTTGCAGGAATGGAGCGGGTTACGGCATCCCTCCACAGGAAGTAAGTAAGAGAAAACGGTTCTGTTTGTTCTCTCCCATTAAACAAATCCATAGTGTTAGGAATATAATTTTGTGAACAGGAATACTTGCCACTGCAGTCTGGAAAGTCTTCTGGACTTCAGCATCCCGGTTAACTTCTTATCTTTTATGTATTGAAAGTCTCAATGTGTGAAGGAGGGCTAACCGCAGATACTAATTAGTTCAGTCTGTTCAGATGTTAAGTTATTGATCAGTCTGTTAGGCTAGATAACTAATTGTCAGCGATCTTTCTTTTACTAGGATTTCAAACACGCCCAGTCCTTCATGCTCTGAGACACGCAGGAGCAGACTGGACAGTGCAATAGAGCCACTGGACAAGGAAGACTTGAGTAGACACTGCCTTCAAACTACAGTGCCACTGGATGGGACTAGACACTGCAAGAAGAACACTTAACGACTGGACTGCACTGGACACCGCAGTGGACATGACTTGACTGCAATATACGCTTCAGACTAGAGATGGTCTGAACAGAATACTGCAGTCAGATAACCTTCGAACTGGACTGGACACTGCATTCGTACCACTAATGTTATGGGCTAAACTGGATTAGACTAGATGAGAGTGCAGTGGTCACAGGACTTAGACGACTCGATTTGAGCGGACTGAATATAGAGCAACACCCGACTGAACAGGACAAGACTAGATGGCTGAATTTACATTTCGGGCTACTGGGTTCACATGGACATTGCACTCAAAACCCTGCTGTCAGGCCAGGCCCTACACTACTCTTTGCTCTGTGGGTGGGTTAAGTTCTCCAGAGAAGTAAGAGAGAAGACACCCACCATCATTATACAGCACTTTGCTTTATGTCTACTATTACACCTGAATTCTTGATGTCTTCGTTAAACTTATACTTCATTAGTTTTCAAATCAGACAATTGTATATGCTACCAGTTTCCAGCTCATATTTAGACCAGACTGCGCAGACACACTGCCACGGATACCTGTTTTCCAGTGTACGTTCGAACACCTAAATGCCCCTTGCTCCAGCTCTGCTGCTGTAGCACAGAGGTGGGAAAACAGGTTCAGTGCTCAAGGCATCAAAATAACCAACAGGACAGAGCTGCAGACTTCAGAAAACATTAAACATTTAATTAAATGTACACCAGAACACAGTGTTAGGCAGCCCAGTCTGGTGCAGGAGTTCATACAACTAAGCAAATCCTCTCTCTGGCTTTCAATCTAGCTGGATTTTTGTTTTCTGTTCCCAACGTTTTAGTTTTTAATGACAAGGATTTCGATGGATGGGTAAAATCTTAACTGCAGAACTCAAAACAATTACAAAAAGGTTTCATTATTACAGTATTGGTTAAATCTGGTGAGGGAATCAATCAAATAATCAAGAGCTCAACTAAAGCCAGCTGAGAGTGGGGTCACGATGCCTTTGACCCTGGATTCTGGTTCATGGCCCCAGCTTGAAGTCTGAAGTAAGACTGGTACCAGAGTGGACAGCTCCCTGTATCGTATGAGTAGGTTTAAAAGTTCTCAAGTCAAACTAGGTGAGGAGGCCGACAGACGTCACCTAAGTTGCAGGCTATAAGACAGTGGACCCCAGTCTGGACTCCACAAGCAGTCACTCAGGATCAGTTAACCGAGAAGCTGCGTTCCCCCTCACTCCTGCAGTTGGGAGAGTCGCACTGCTACAGGCTTTGTAAGGACCTTGAGTCCCAGAGCTCTGGCCAATGGTGAGAAGGTCAGGCTGAAGTCCCGAATTGATTTCGGTTCAGTCACGCAGAGCCTTGTACAGGATGAAAAGCAGAGAGACCCCGTGGCCCTCCAGGTCTGAGGGTGAAGGCCTCTGCCCTGCTGGAGCGCCACACACTCCTCTGGTTTCTGCTGTACCAATGTTCACTGCAAAGAGAGGGACGTGCCTAGTTTATCCCCAGTAGGGAGCAGTGCAGCCTGCTCAGACAGGCCCCTCCAGCACCACACACTCCTGCCGATCAGCACAGCTGCCTGCCAAGAAGGATCAAAGAGCAGGCAAAATATTCAGAGTGTTGTACAAAAGGGATTTTTTTTTACTCATAGAGTTGCTTTTTGTATTTTTTTGTTACATGATGATTAATGACGATTTGCATTTTTTTTTTAAACTGAAGTATCTATTCTCTTGCTATTTGGCTCTGAATGTATGACCTGGAATTGTATGATTTTATTTTCTTGCACAGATGGTATGTTGTGGAACCAGTATAAAACAAAACTTAAAACTTTTCTCCTCTTGCACGGCGTGAGTGTTGATGCTGTCACTTTGTTCATAAAGCAGGTGTGTTGAAGCTATAGGAGGAGCTTTGCATAGGCTACGCATATGCTGCTGTGTCTGTCATGCGGCACTATCTACTGGGACACAGTACTGCGAGACCATATGTTAGACATGTCAGGGCTGGCACTCTCGCGACAAGGGTCTGCGGGAACCATTTTATCCAACATCATTTATTAAATATCTACACAGCGTGTGGACACAGGAACAGAGAGAATGAAGAGAGGGGGTTTTCACTTGGGTGACACTTCTTCAAACTTGGGCTCTGAAAAAGAGAGAGAAGGACAGTGAGATGAGTTTAACAGAGAAGATGATCACCCTTTTCCTGTAACTGGATGTGCGAAGTGTTCCAATAGGGTGGGACACTGGTGGGGCATCACAGGGCAAGTCTGACACGTGCTACCTCACTATGGGAAAGGTCAGAGTGTCCTGTCTCGCACTGAAATTCATCAGTGTACAAGCTGTAGACTCTACAGGGCCATCATAGGCTGCTGGTTACTGCATGTATGAATTACAAAATTCTGATTGTGTAGTTAGATATGCAGTACCCCCCCAGCGTACACATAGAGCCTTAACAGAGTGGATGCTGGCGTAGCCGGGCGGCTGACTCACCGGGGAACTTGAAGTCGGGGAATTTGGTGAGGTCCCCACCTCCGTACAGCCGCTGCAGTTTGGCCAGCTCATCTGCCATGTTCTTTTGATATTCCGGACCGGCACCCACCACGCCCCCTGCTGCCCTGGAGGGGGAAGGCAGATCGTTAGATCTGGGGGCAGGACAGGAAGAGAACGGGGGTGGAGGTCAGGTCCGCACTCACTTGCTCTTGGTGTTGTACTCGCGGATCTTGTCCAGGAAGAGCTTCTGCACGGGGTCCAGATCTTTGGCCCGGTTCATCGCCACGGCCGACAGCCCGACGTTGCGCCGCGCCTGTTGGGAAAGGGCGGACCGCAGGAGCGAGGAGAGTCGGAATAAGCGCTGAACGGTCATTCTGAGGCTGGGGAGAAGGAGGAGAGAAAAATCATGAGCTACTGGGGCTCCAGGGACAGAGATTAGACCAAGGACTCGTCTCCAACTCCGGTTCTGGAGGATCTGGTGGCTTGCTGAGCTCTTGCCGATATATTGAACCTCATCACTAGAATACTCGCAGTCAGGCTGTAGGTTTTAATAATAATTATAATAATTGCTTACACTTATATAGCGCTTTTCTAGACACTCCACTCAAAGTGCTTTACAGGTAACCCCTCCACCACCACCAATGTGCAGCCCCACCTGGATGATGCGATGGCAGCCATAGTGCGCCAGAACGCTCACCACACATCAGCTATCAGTGTAGAGGAAAGCAGAGTAATGAAGCCAATTCATAGATGGAGATAATTAGGAGGCCATGATTGGTAAGGGCCAATGGGAGATTTGGCCAGGACGCCGGGGTTACACCCCTAGTCTTTTCAAGAAATGCCCTGGGATTTTTAATGACCACAGAGACCCAGGACCTCGCTTTTACATCTCATCTGAAGGACAGCACCTGTTTACAGTATAGTGTCCCTGTCACTATACTGGGGCATTAGGACCAACATGGATTGCAGGGTGAGCACCCCCTGCTGGCCCCACTAACACCTCTTCCAGCAGCAACCTTAGTTTTCCCAGGAGGTCTCCCATCCAGGTACTGACCAGGCTCACAGCTGCTTAGCTTCAGTGGGTTGCCAGTTGTGAGTTGCAGGGTGATATGCTGCTTTTACATGCTATTGTATCTTCACCACTGAGAATCTTTGGAGTGAAAATAGACTAAGAAAAATCCTGCATATGTCTAGGAAAACTTGGTTAACTAACTCGTCAGGTTGGAATGAAAACCAGATTAAATTTGAAGAATACCCAAAGCAAGTACCATTTTTTTAACCTCAATAAAATACTGGGACCCTTGAGACATGTGGACTTTGATTTTTGGTACTGGGCAGTCTCATCCCAGTGAGTCTCACAGGTCACCTTTAATCACACATTTCTCACTCAATTAAGCAATTCCATCAATGAAGGTAACTGTGGTCCCTGAGAGCTGAAGGCTATTCCAATCTCCATTCCCAGCGATCCCTAACTTGCTGGGCGTAACCAGCTACCTGCTTAACTGATCACAACTAAAATCGCTGAAAGTCTGATTTAATGGGCATCTATAAAGTACAGATCTGTCTCCAGCCAAACATTTCTAGCTTAGCTGCCGGACGGCACTGTTACCAATCAACTTCATGGCCACTTCAAGGAAAGGCAACTTGTTAAAAATGAAATTTCAAATTTCAAGGTTTCACTCAACACTGTGAATGTGAAAATCCGTAAAGATTTTCATACTGGCATTTTGTCCCCTTTTTAATCCTGCCCGACTCACGCACACAGCAGATTGAAACGCTGTTGTAAACTGCTAACTGTCTGACTCTGCTTCCGATCCACGAGGGTGTCTTCTTCCAAAAATGTAAGACTGATCTGGACGCCGTATAATCCACTACTCTACTGGGCTGCAGTACATGCTACCTCTTGAAGGTAAGAATAAGGAATAACATCTCTTTCAAGTCTCTATTAGAAGAATCCAGGCTTCCAAAAAACGTTCCGAGAGTCAAGCACAGACAGTATTAATGGCTGTTTAATAAATTAAGGATGAAGTCTTGTAAAGTGCCCAGATAAATAAAAAAAAACAAGTCCCTTTAGGATGACAACAGCT